CCCTGCAGCATTTTCCTTTCCAAATTCAGGCATCCCCAAAGCCACCACAACTACACGGCACCAGGCAAGGCCGTGGCAACCTCCCAACCAATAAATTCCCTTTTTAATTTAAGCTGGTCTGAGCTGGGGTCCTGTCACAGTGCTTTCTGAAGGCATAAGGATCCAGAGGCATCTAGAAAGGCTGAATCGAATGAGATGATGCTCAGGGAGAGTGGGAGGGCCATGCTGCTCTGGGGACTACGGTTCTGACTGCACATGCTCCGGATGGGGGTTGGGGAGCCAAGGTGAGATACGGCTGCTGACAAAGCCAAAGGGAGCTATGGCTGGCACTGGAGTAGGTGAGGAGGGAGAGCAGGGCTGCTGGACTCACCCAATGGCACTGGCACAACACATGAATCTGGGGGTACTGATCTCCTCATAAGCCAGTCTCTCCCATTTACTGCAGGATGGTGTACAAGTCTCTCATTCCCTATGCAAGCTGCCATGCGGGAAACGCTGGAAAGCGGGGCCCTAGGGTGTAATCCTCAGTGAGGAGGCAGTCACCTCAGGATCAAAATGGCAACTACTTAAGGGCTAAAGACCCTTAAACTGCAAAGAATAGGACGGTGCCAGAGAGAATCCCCGAACTATCATCAAAAGCATTCTTACTGACCAACACTTCCCTCTACATTATCTTATTGGCTTGTCACTACACAGGTAGCTGTGACCATCATAATTGCTCGGGAAGAGAAAGTGGATGCTCAGGAAGTTGAAGAGGGTAGATGACAGAGCTAGTACTGGTGGGACTGAGACGCTATGCATCATCTACCCTTCTCTGCCTGTGGTAGAAATTCATTCAGTTTACAGATTCACACAACTTCAGGAGCAATGCTGTGAATCTTCAAAGTCAATATGTAAAAGTCCAATTCAACAATTCCAAAATATGTTTGTGAAAGGAAACGCCCCAAGAGCTGGCTCATTCTAAACATGCTATTTTATAAAGTTCTCCCAAACTGTCACCAAAAGAAATGAAAAAAGACAAGAAGAAGAAAAGAGTGGAAAGAGAAAGTGAGCATGCCAGGAAGTAATTGGAAAGAAACCTGTTGGTTTGGGAGCCAGTGAAATGTCAAAGAAACAAATATGGCTATGATTTAAGCTCCATCTCCAGTTGTACCATGGGATTCAAAAATTGGCATCTTTATTAAAGTGTACACCACAGAGAAGTCCTGACAAAGGCCAAAAAAGCTACATTTGATTCTGGGTTTTATGGTAACTTAACCAATATGTATAATTGATGGTAGCAAAGGAAAACACTTTACCCCAAGTCTCTGGGTTTTTCTTAGGGAAACGCTGGAAAGCGGGGCCCTAGGGTGTAATCCTCAGTGAGGAGGCAGTCACCTCAGGATCAAAATGGCAACTACTTAAGGGCTAAAGACCCTTAAACTGCAAAGAATAGGACGGTGCCAGAGAGAATCCCCGAACTATCATCAAAAGCATTCTTACTGACCAACACTTCCCTCTACATTATCTTATTGGCTTGTCACTACACAGGTAGCTGTGACCATCATAATTGCTCGGGAAGAGAAAGTGGATGCTCAGGAAGTTGAAGAGGGTAGATGACAGAGCTAGTACTGGTGGGACTGAGACGCTATGCATCATCTACCCTTCTCTGCCTGTGGTAGAAATTCATTCAGTTTACAGATTCACACAACTTCAGTAGCAATGCTGTGAATCTTCAAAGTCAATATGTAAAAGTCCAATTCAACAATTCCAAAATATGTTTGTGAAAGGAAACGCCCCAAGAGCTGGCTCATTCTAAACATGCTATTTTATAAAGTTCTCCCAAACTGTCACCAAAAGAAATGAAAAAAGACAAGAAGAAGAAAAGAGTGGAAAGAGAAAGTGAGCATGCCAGGAAGTAATTGGAAAGAAACCTGTTGGTTTGGGAGCCAGTGAAATGTCAAAGAAACAAATATGGCTATGATTTAAGCTCCATCTCCAGTTGTACCATGGGATTCAAAAATTGGCATCTTTATTAAAGTGTACACCACAGAGAAGTCCTGACAAAGGCCAAAAAAGCTACATTTGATTCTGGGTTTTATGGTAACTTAACCAATATGTATAATTGATGGTAGCAAAGGAAAACACTTTACCCCAAGTCTCTGGGTTTTTCTTGTTTTCAAAATGATTGGTCTGGACAATAGAAGTCTCAACAGCCAACAATAAATCCATTGTAAACTGGAAATGGTCTCCTCCAAATACAACTAAGTATTTCTTTAATTCTTGCATTAAATGTTTTACTGTACTATGAAAACTATTTTATTTACTCTAAAATTTAAACATTTATAATACTGTAATTATAACTAATGTGGAGGTTGATTATTTAGGCAACCTATTTAAAGCACTTTAAAAGCATAATATCAGATGCTTGATTTGCATTTATATTTTCAGATTCTGTTGAAGATTCTATCATTAATAACTCTTGTTCAGAAATCTCGTTATGTTCTCAAAACCATTTCTTTTCTTTTGTACCATGGAAAGGGTCTTTAATAATTACAAGTTAACATGAATATTCCTTCTTTTTCTAGCTTCTGTATCTACATTATCAGGCACATCAGTCAGTCCCCAAAAAGTTATTTCACAGTTCTGTTCCCAAGGGAACAAAAAGTGAGTCCTATATTAATAGCAGCTTTTGTTGGCTTTTTTTTTTTTGACATTAAATTGTGTGTGGTTGGCAAGGATTTCTTTTCTTTAATTTGGATGTGGCTTCTGCCTGTGAAACTCCGAGAACAAGCATGTCAGTAAAGGACAAGCTGCAGGCACCTTCACATACACAACCAGCAGCAGCTTACAAGAGGCTTCACTGAGGACAAACTGGAACTCAAAAACATGTTCAAGTACAAATGTTCTCTCCTTAAGAGATTTACAGTTCAGTATTTATCTGCCCTCCATATCCAATAGTTCGAAAAAGTATCTTCACATCGATTTCAAGTCAATTACAAGCCCCTCATTATGGGCCTTCCACGCCTACTCAGCTCAGCCAAGGACTGGCAGTGTCTCCAGCCAGGCTGTGCACATTTCCCACCAAGTGACATTTGCAGGTAATAGCTAGTAGCCTTCCCACAGGGGTCATCCAAACAGCCAGAAGCTCGACTACAATACATTCATACTGTGGCATCTGTGATGCTCTACTGGAAGGGAAAAAACAGCCAGTTTGTGCTCCAAGCATATATGCTCCTCCAAGTTTAATTAGTTAGCAGCACAATGTGTTAAGATGTGACCTGTGCTAACACCAGCCTACCGAATGGTATGGTCACTTTCTAGGGGAAATCCAAGATTTGACTTCTCTTTGCCTATCTAATCAAGAGAAGAGAGAGAAATAATGAGATAGAACACTGCCCAACACCTAGTTGTGGAAGCACTGTACTTTGTCCAGGCAAAAAAGAATCAGTGCCACAGAGGGGAGCAGAATGAAGCCCCTGCAGTCTCTCCCTGCTGATACACACAGTTCAGGATTTGAGAATCCATACTTGCCAGCAGAGGCTGCTTTCCCAGGACCCCTGTTCCTATTTCCCTATTAGCATGGACTTGATTCGCAAGTTCTTTGTAAAAGGTTTTGCCAGGATTTCTGATTTGTATTTATTTTTACTAAGTAAGAGAGACCTCCTATTGGAAAGAACAGCGCAGTTATTTCTACCAGGTAAATTTTACTGGCCCTCCATCAATCAATTCAACACCCTGGTCTCTAGGCATTTGCCAAAAGATAATGGGCTGCAATTATGGGATCATCACCGGGAGTTGCCAGCAGCGCTCCAGAGAGATATCCGAAGTGTGTAGGCACCTTTGAGCAGAAAATAGGAAATCATTTCATGAAGCAGCAATTTTGCCCAAAACCAAGCTAGAGGCAATGCAGTGCTGTTTAAACTAAAGTAACTAAGAAATAGGTATAGTGTACTAGGAGGTGTGGTGCAGACTGCTCCCATTCCTCTAAAGATTCCACATTAACTCCACGATAGACGTACAGCTCATTACATTAACAAAGGTCACCGCCTGGCACAGTTTGGGGGCATCTGTAGGAACAGGCCTTGCCGCGCTCTCCTCTATCCTGGAACCCTAGCGTTTCCATAATTCTATTGAGAATGTCCCTTTGGGAAGTACACTTGGGATCTCGGGAAGCCTCCTTTCCCAGAAGGAAGAGGATGGCCCGGCAATGGGCGCGGGCCTCAGCTCTGCGGGGCACGGGCACGGCCGCACAAAAGGCGGAGGTTCGGGTGAACAGGATGGGGACGGCTCTGCGGTCCCAAAGGCGGCTCCTGCTTTGAAGACTCTCAGCAGCACCCTCCAGAGACGCGTCACCGTCCCATGCGGCGCTTCCAACAAGCGCAAGAAAATCCAGGGTGCATCGGCGCCGGCCAGGGGGCATCGCCGGAAACCAGAACCCGGTTTTTTCTCCCCCCCGCCCCTCCGAGCTGCTGCGGGCATCCTCTGAGGTCCTGCTGGGCCGGGCACAAGCTCAGCCGCAGCAGCGCCGGGGCACAGCACCACCAGGAGGCGGCTGCGCCCAAAGTTCCCCGCGGAGGGTAACGGGGGAGGTGGGCTGTCCAGACGCGTCCCGGGCCCCGGCCCCCGGGTCCTCTGGGCGCCCCACCCCTCAGGTACACTAGCGCTGGGAACCGCAGGGGCGGCCGACGACGAGAGTCACCTCCCGGACCCTTCCCGCCCCGGCCTCGTCCTCGTGCCCGCACGGAGGGGGCGCCAGGCGCGGGCGTCCACACCCGTGCGGACTCGCCCAGGTCTGACTTCAAACTGAACGGGTCTCTCCTCTCCCTCTGCTCGCTCGTCCCCTCAGCGGCCCCGGCACGCTACCCGCAGGCTGGCGGCCGGACAGCAGGACCCCCTCGGGGCTGGCGCCCCGGTGCAGGCCGCTCAGGGCACGGGCGACGGCTCCCAGCGCACCAACGCCGCTCGGCGCCCGCCCACCCACGGGATGCCCCGGCCCCGGCCCCGGCCCCGCGCCTCACCTCCCGCAGCAGGCGCTCCAGGTGCGGCTCGGCCCAGGCGGCCAGAGCGCCCGGCGGCCCCCCGCGCCGCAGCAGCTCCTGCTCCTCCTCCAGGGCCGCTACCCGGCCCTGCAGCGCGGCCGCCTGGGCGCCCAGCAGCAGGCAGGCGGCCGCCGCGCCCACGGAGAGCAGCAGGCACAGCGCGCTCAGCGCCCAGGCCCCGGCCGCCGTCCCGGGGCGCCCCCCGCCGCCGCCCGCGGGGCCGCCCTTGCGCGCGTCGCCGCCGGCGCACCGGCCCGGGCTCATGGCGCGCGGGTCGCGCGTGGGCTCTCCGAGTGGGCGGTGCAGAGCTGCGGACGCGGGCTGGGCGCGCGGGAGAGCCCAAGGCACGAGGCCGGCGAGGCGCGGGGCTCGGCCTCGGGGCAGCAGCGGATCCCGGCGCACGCCCCCCTCGCCGCCGCCAACTCCTCCACAGCGGCCACTTTGGGCAGTTTCCTCTATGCAAATAGACTGCCAGAAAAGGAGCCGGGACCCACCCAGGGGAGGAGCGGCCCGGCCGGCCCCGCGCGGCGAGGGGAGGGGGCGGGCGGTGGCGCGCCTCGGAGACCCCGCGCCGCGCCCCACGCCGCCTCACCTGCCCCGCGCCGGGCCGCACCCTCCCCCGGGCCGCACCCCCGACGCTCCGGGCCCGAGGTCCCACTGCAGCCCAGGAGGTCTGAGATGCTCCCGGAGGCTCAGAGCGCTAATGCAGCCCACCCCTTGCTGGAGCATCATTCGTGCCTGGGGTGAAGTCCCCTCAGCTTGCGAATTAACCGTTCTGATACTTTCTGGTAAATTAAAACGTACAACACTGGAAAACTCACTGCGTGCGCCTGGATGGTGCCTTAGCGCCGCTTGGTGGCGCATGGCGAGCTCTGCGCATCCACACGTAGAGACGGAGTCAGGGAGGAGACTGCTCCTCGAAGAGAAGTGTCTCTTCGAATCTTTTTTTTTTTAAAGGTAATTTATGTCCATTTATTTACAACGAGAAATGAAAACAAATTACAAGCTGTGAAATGATTATCAATACCACAAACATCATAAAATCCAGAAAAACAACTATTAAATTAACTCCTGACATATTTCTGATTGTTCCCATAGTTTTGGCTGGTATCTTCAGATTTCCTCTTCTTATGACCGTTATTTTGTAATAAATTTTCTAAAGAGGAAATAGGTAATTCAGTATTTTTTCTATTGCAGTTGATCACAATTTGTTTTTATTTATTGAAATCTGGCTCCACACAAGGACTTGCTCAATGTTTGTAACATCACTACAGATGTGATACACACTAGAAATTCCATTAATTTAATTTCTCTTTTGGATGATTCCCATGAGTAAACATAGAAGAAAACTGTGTTGTGCATTCATAACTATTTATGCTGTGTGATATACTCCTGATAGGAGAATTTGACTAGGGATTGATTCAAATCTTAATCCTCTCAATATATTATGTGCCAGACATGTGGTGCTGGAAACCAAAATTGTAAAACCTTGTCCCTGACCTAGAGTGGGCTTTTATTTGAGAAAACTGAGGCTATAAACAATGGAAGAGCTGTGGAAAAAGAACTCCAACTTTTGTTGAGCTCAGGGCTTAATTCTGTAGTGGAAACACAACGACCCAAAAATAATAGCGATAATCCATTATGCACCACATTGATCCTATACGGCGATTCTGCTGAAAATTTACATCACAGGGTTAAAGTAGAAAAGCCTGAACGACGATGAAGTGGCCCTAATGAATGACATTTCAAGAAAGGGGAGAATGGCCGGAAGTCAGGCAGATTCTCTGCTGGCTCACAGATTCCTACCAGGCTTATTTATATTCTAAAATGGATCCCACATAATCTTCCACTAATTCCTGTAATGCTCAAATAAAAACAACGAACTACTAGTTTAGATTTCTGTAACTTGGGCAACTCCAGGACCATTTGTGACAAAAAAGACTTGTTATATCTTCCCTCTCACCCTGGGTATTTTTGAATTATTAATTTATGTGAATAGATTACTTTTCTCTTGGAACCACTGAGGACCTCCAGCTCACGTTTTCCTTATTCCCTTAGTTTGGAGGGAAAAATTACCTCTGAGACTGGAATAAAACAAAGTGGTTGGCATCTCACCCCGGCAACTTTGTAGCTGTGACCTTAATTGACTAAATTGAGGTTAGGGTTAGGTGATTATACAGAGAGAAGTCTTGGCACTCTGCTAAAATCTCATATATGCCCGACAAATAGTCTGAAAAGTACTTGTTGAGCAAATGGGAATGGATGATAAGAGCCAGCATCATAATACAGTTATTGCTTCATTCTTACTACACAGTTTAATTGTCCATCACCCGTGTATGTTAGTGTCACTGAATGCATTATTCACTCTGTTCCAGAAGCTTTTGTATATTGAACAAGCCAAGCTCATTGGCCCCTCAGAGGACTTTGCTTTTGCCCACTGTCTCACTCTGGAATATCCTGCTTGTCAGAGCTTTGAATAGCAGGCTCATCCTTCAGGTATCACTTTACTCAGTTTTCTGTAATCCATGGTCATATGCCAGGAGCCATCTGGCTTTTTTACTGTCCACACTGGGGAATTGAAAGGACTGTGAGTGGGCTTTGCCTTCATCACACATATCCTCAGGCTGAACTCATCTTCAGTGGTCTGCAACCATAGACTCTGCAGGATATCAATCTCCAAAATATATTCAGGGATGGGAGACATATACACAGTACATTCCTTTGGGGGTAGGCGCCCTATTCCCAAAGAGACTCTGATAGCCATACTCCCATATTCATCTATAATAGCGGGGGTCCTGGGAAACCAGTCAGGGTTACCATAAATCAGTGAACATTCAGCCCGTGTCCACCAGAGGCAGGACATGTATGTTCACTGGGGACCAGTGGATAGCTATTTCAACATGTGGCCTCCAGTCCCCCCCCTGGTCCCTCAGGGCAGATACCTCAACCTTCCCCTCAGTCAAACCATATTCCCCAATCATCTTCTTGTGTTGGTTCAAGTGAGGTTGGCTCACTCTCCAGCAGGTAAGTCTTGCAAACACACAGGCCAGACTTGTGGCTCTGTCTCTGGCCTCTGCCTCTTTGTTCTTAATGGCTGGAACTGCTCCAGTTGCAGTTGTTGCCCAAGCTCCAGTAAGATTCTATTTGACTTCCCATCTAATTCCCTTCTGTCTCCTCCTGCCTATACTAAACCAACCACATCTGGGTCCTCATAACTTTCATGGGGCCCTTTAAATTCTTCCTGTGAGTAGCAGACTTTCTTTCTGTGCTCTCATTGCTTCAGCCTCTCCCAAGTCTGCTACTGTACAGGTAACCTCACTTATGAGCTGCCTTATGTGAGGGGCAAGAATGGCCCAAAGAGGGATGTGGGAGCCGTTTGAATCACATTTCTCATCCCTGCAGTAAAAGGCTCCTCATCTGGGCCATAATTCTCTGGACTATAGATGGCATTTTTTATGCCTAGCTCCAGTAACATCTGTTGGAGCTCAGCATACATCTTCCATCTAGCAGGGGAGGAATGTAAATCACCCTGTTTGGGCCATACAGCGCAGAGTGTGGGAGGGAGTGATCTTCTGGAGTTTGATGTGCATTTTGTAATCGCTGCCTGAAGGCAGGATGAACTGTCAGGAAAGCCAGCTTTCCCACCTCTGATCCAGACAGAACAATTCCATCCACCCCTGAATCCCGCAGACACAGGAGCCAAGCTCATATTGACTCTGAGGGCTTCTGCCTAAACCGGGAGCCCAAATCCACCAGCTCAGCCTGAGTGTAGGGGCGGAGCATAGAGCGCTCTGTGACCTGGGGAGGGGGCTGCAGGAACCCTCGGTTCCCATGTCTTTATTTTCTTCACAAGCACTGGGCATGCTTTCAACAGAGGAGGGGTGGTGCCCTCGGCACCAACCCTTCATGCTTCCCCAGTTCCTCCATTCCTGGGGCTGATGGCACCTTTCTCCCCCCTCCCCCGAGTGCCTCCTCTGCTACACCCTTTACCTTCCTACCGTGCCTCGCAGCAGTGCCAGCTCAGTCTTCAGCAGCTCTCACCTTCCCCTCCATGCCTCGCAGCTGGCGTTCTCGTGCTGCCTCTTCCTGTGCTTCCCTCAGGACTACGTCCTTCTCCTCCTTCAGAGCACCTGGCAGTGCTGCTGCCTCGTTCTGTAAGGAGTCTTTTACCTCCTTCACTGGACGTCACAGCTCAGTTCTCACACTGCCTCTTGTGTTTTTTTGCAGGGGTCCATCCTTTTCCTTCATGTCCTTTACCTCTTCCACAGTACCTCGTAATGAAGTCGTTTCAGTCACCAACAACTTTTTCACCTCCTCAAAGGCAGCTTGCAGCCAGTGTTCTTGTGCTGCCTCCTCTCGTATCATCAATGTCTTTCCAATGGGTTTCAGACCTGGACAAGTTCACAATGGATTCACTGAGACCAAAGAAACGACAGTGGAACATTCTTGGGGTGAAAGGGTTTATACCCAACTTTATTCACATGGTGCCAGGTCAATCATTAGAGTCCCATCCACTCAGAGTGAGGGCACGCAGCAAGCTGGTCTCTGCCTCTAGGCCTCTCTACCCCCGCAGCCGTCGCAGTCTCTGTTCTCAGCACTTGCCACCACTCCAGCCTCTGCTCTCCTGCAGACTTGCTGCCACCATACCACCATGTCTCACAGAGCACTGCGCAGAGGTCTTTATATATAGTCAATAATAATGTATTGCCCATACGTGTGTAGTGAGCTAGCCGACAAGGGCCAGGTGAGAATCCTGGCCACAGGAATCTTCACTTTATCCACACAATGCCATTTCATTCTTCAATGAATCCACAGCAGTTCGCAGCTCATGTTCTCGTGCTGCCACTTCTTGTGTTGCTTTCAGGAGCATGTTCTTATCTGTAGACTTTTTTAACACTGTGAGAAGCAACCACCCCACAGTCCCCACTGCCTGATGGTTTCTCAGAGGACCTTCTCACTATACCACAGGGCATCCCTACTGTCCCAGGTATCACCTAAACCTGCCTACAGTCCTGGGGTGGGGCCCAGCCTTCTAGGAGGCAAGCCACCTCAGACCACATACCCACTGGGGAACAATCGACTGTCTCCTCATTCATAGGGGTAGTCTGCCGAAGCACTGTTCAGTAGGGCAGCCTGTTCTTTTCCTTGGTTAACAATGAATCCTGCTGACATCACCAATTGTCTTGCCAGTGGTTTTCAGCTCAGGGCAAATTCACTATGGATTCAGTGAGAACAAGGAATAACAATGGGACATTCTTGGGGTCAAAGGGTTTATTACCTGGCTTGTTCTCCCAGGGATAGGTTGAGCACTAGAATTACATCTGCATCCAACAGCCTGCAGGTCTACAATCCTCCTGTCTCTGCCTCCACCCAGAGCACCGGGCAGAGCTCTTTATACAGTGACTCAGTCAGTAATAGCTTATTGTCTATGAGCGTGGAAGCAGTAGCCTATCAGCAGGCCAGTTACATCAAGTAGTTTAGGTGCAGGTGAGGATCCTGGCCACAGGAACCTTCACTTTATCCACAACCACCTATCTAACAAAGTGTACCTTCATTCCAGGGTGTCAAGATAAGCTTTATATTGGTATCTGCCTACTTACTTAAAAAGTACTGTTGTTTACAAATGACCATACCATTTTGACCATTTTGCTGACTGAAGCTCTCTTTCAGCTACAGTAGTAATGAAAAATGTGAATGAATGGAATCCAATGAAACTATTAACCATTACTTGCCATTTTATCCAAAGTCATTTCACAGTAAACCTCTGAATGAGAATCACACTGATCAAATTTTTGACTCACTGAGGTGTATTACCACAAGAAAGCACAATGCTATAATCTAGGAAACCCAATTTTATGTCACAATTTAGCCATAACTGGGAGATATGGCCAAGCTATTTCGTTTCTCTACCATTTAGCTCTTCAAGATCACTCAGAGGAATAGTTTTCAATCTTAGCACTATAAAATTTCACAGGGTAGTTTGCCTATGTCAACTGAGTAATAGCAGGGATCCATTTTATTCATCTGCTCTGAAAACTTTAATGAGAATATCTGAGCAAACAAGCAGTAGCAGGAAACACCATAGTAACCTATTTAGCTGTGCTTTGAAAAGTGCCTCATAAAATCCAAGCTTTTCAAAATAGATTAAAGGCTTGAATATAAGACCTGAAACTGTAAGACTCCTAGAAGAAACAGGTGGTAATGTCCTTGACATCACTCTTGGTGATATTTAGGATTTGACACCAAAACAAAGGCAATGAAAACAAAAACAAGTGGGACTACATCAAACTCAAAAGCTGCACAGCAAAGGAAACCATCAACAAAATAAAAAGGCAATGTAATTAGTGGGAGGTATTGTACAAATCATCTAATTAGGGGTTAATAGCCAATAAAGAACTCATCCAATAAAGAACTCATATAGCTCAATAGCAAAACAACCTGACTGAAAAATTCAGATCTGAATTAGACATCTTCCCGAAGAAAACACAGATTAACAAGAGGTACATGAAAAGGTGCTCAACATCACTAACCAGGCAAATGCCAATCAAAATCACAATGAGCTATTACATGTATGACAAGACATTAACAAGCACTGGCCAGGATGTGGAAAAAAGGGAACCCTTGTGCATGGTTGGTAGCAATCTAAATTGGTGTAGCCACTATGTAAAACAATATGAAGGTGCCTCAAAAAATTAAAAAGAGTACTATCATATCATCTAGCAATTCCACTTTTGGTTATTTATCCTAAGAAAACAAAAACACTAACTTGAAAAGATGTCTACACTCCCATGTCATTGCAGCATTATAATAGCCAAGATAGAAACAACCGGTCTATAGATGAATGGAATAAAAAAAGTATACATAAAATGGAGTATTAGCCACAAAGAACTCAATCTTCCATTTGCAGTAACATGGATGGAACTTGAGGGCACTATGCTAAATGAAGAGAAAAAACTAATACTGCATGATTTCAAATATGGAATCTAAAACAAACAAAGGCTTATAGAACAGACTAGTGGTTGCTAGTGTGCTAGAGATGGGGAAAAGTGGGTGGAGGGGATCAAAAGGTACAAACTTAGTTATAAATGTCTTAGGGATGTAATGTACAGCACAGCAACTATAGTAAACACTATTGTTGCATATTTGGAATTTCTAAGAGTAGATCTGTGATTAAGAGATCTTAAAGTTCTCATGCCAAGAAAAAATGGTTAACTATGTAGGGTGATGATGTTAACTAGGCTGATTTCACAATACCCTTGACCCCTGACAACAGATTTGAACTATGTGTGTTCACTTACTATTTTTTTCAATAAATATACTGGACAACTTTCTGGAGATTTGTGACAATTTGACAGAACACAAGATGAACCACATAACCTAGAAATAGCAAAAAATTAAGGAAAAACTAGGTATGACATTAATGCATAAAACATGTAGATATTATTTTATCACTTAGTACTATAAAATCAATAGGCTATTTGTAGTTGTTTTTGAGGAGTCAAAAGTCATATGTGGATTTTTGATTGCATGGGGGCTGGTGCCCCTAACTTAGCTCTGAGGTTAAGGGTCACCTGTATATATGAATATTGAATCATTATTTGTAAAACTAAAACTACTATGTGCCAATTATACCTCAATTTTTAAAAATTTGAAAAACAAGCTTGACTTCAAAGGTATTTCTAAAAACACAGTAAACTGAGGCATCAAATTATTAAAAATATCTGGTTACAAATGACCCATATTTATATATTGGCCAGTCAAACCTTTCATGTTGAAGCGGAAGCCCCTGGCACTGTTAAGTAAAAACCTGGTGCTTCAAGGAAGTAAGTTCAAAAGTACAAGGAAAAAATTATAGAGTAGGAACCTTAGACCTCAGAGAAGGGAAGGTTGGCAGTAGACATTCCTATCATGATTCCATAGGTTCTACCCCAACCATTAAACATTTCTTCTATCCTAATTTAGTAAAGTATCTCTTTAATTCCTAAAATTCCATTAATCAAGCCTACAAAATTAACAAATATTCTTCATGAAGAACATGAATCATTTCCGGAAGGGAAAAGTTAGCAATCATTTAACTTTTTAGTAAGAAATCATGGCGCCCTATTCCCAAAGGAATTATTTTTTTTTCCCCCCCTATATCCTGAGATTAGCTGCTCTGAGGGAATGAGTTTCTGATGCAGAAAAAAGTAAACCAATTTGGGAACTTGAAGCACTTGCAGGGAAATGATAAGTGGCTCAGATACTACAGCAACTATGGTAGATTGGAAACGGAAGGGAAAATATGGATGGTCAACATCTTCATCTCTACAGCAACACCACTAGGCTCAGGAAAAACCATCTTTATATCAAAGGCTCTTTCAAAAAAACCTCATTATCACATATAAGATAGTTTAACTATTCTGAAGGTATATTTACTGTATATGGGCTGCATCATAAGCCAAAGCATAATTTATGCAGTGATTCTACAGTAAAATTTATTTCAGCTTTCTTAAATTCCTGGTTAATTTAGGAACGCAGCCTTGTTATATTGGTAAATGCTATCCATGAATAATGTAGGGACCGGCATGATTTCACTATTTGTCATACATGAAAAATCTATGTATTTTATGTTTAAAATACCCAAGCAGAGAAAACTCAAACCTGTGTGTAAAGCATTTACAAAATGGGGATACTTTTAACAAAAAACAACCTGTATATATATGAATAATCATGAATTCTATAAAAAAACATTTCTACCTGGCAGACTGTGTAGTATCAAGGGTTTTTTTCTGCTAAATTAAGTAACATTTACCATGTGAGTATCTATAGGCAAACAAAAAAGTTTAGAAACAAATTGATAACCAATTTGGGTCTGGAAATCTCTGCAGAGGTTTCTTCCCTAAATCTTCCCAATCAAATAATTCTTTTGTTCCAATTAAGATTAACACAAATATAAATGCTTAATAGCCTTAATTCTCATAGGCTGAGGTTTGAATATTTACCTCATTTGATAAGGGAATATGTTAGACAATTTCAAGCCTCCTCAAGACTTGCATTAAAAATTAAAACCTCATCAGGTTTTAAGTCCTATAAAATTTTAATTCCTGTGTTTGTGACTCATTAAACAGGACTTTCCAAGCTGATTTTTCAGTTAGACATTAATCTTAAATGAAGTGTGTATGTGGTTTTATTAAACAACCTGTCACAATGGACAAACTGGATGCCTTTCCATGAAAGCTACTTTACCACCACTGACATGACTCAGTGAGATAGAACACAATATTTAAAATTTAATGAAATTCCAACAATAAACATTGCCTATGGGTTTTGGTTTCCAATACCTGCCTATAGTTAATACTTATTACCTGGTTCAACAATTACAGAAAAACTTTTAAAGTTAAGAAAAGTTCTGAATTTGAGGTCTATAAAGAATTTACATTAAGAGTAAAGTAGTCAAGATATCCTTTTACTCAAAAAATCACTTCAAAGAGTTGACTTCCATGTACAAAAAAGACAAGATCAGTCACATCATTGGACACAAAAGGATATTCCAAAGGTCTTTAAAAATGGTAATTAATCTCAAAAAGGAAAACTAATTTTAACATTTATATTTCATTCATTATTAAGACCATACTTGCTTAACAAGATAATTATGCTGATACAAAATATACAGTATTTACACTTAACTGTACAAAATAATTTAATGTTTACAAAAATAACAATGTTTAGAGTTGACTGACACAGTCTTAAGGAATCTCTTCTAGAGAAGTATATAGTAAGACCACAGATTTCCATTTCACTTGTTTTTTAATAAGTCAAAGAAAGGATGCTGCAAAGCTTCATCCAAGGTAATTCTTTTCACTGGATCATACTCCAACATTCTTCGAACCAGGTCAAACAGTTTCTCATGTTCTTCATCATGACAAAGCATAAATTCCTGGGGGGGAAAAGTTTTTGTTTAAGAAAAGTATTTAAAAATAGTTAAAACATTGTTAAACATTTCATCTTTTTTCCTTTACCTTTAATGGTTTGCAGCGTCTCCTAACATATCTACCAGCAGAACTATGTTCGTCCCAATCTAGCTGGTTATGGTGAAAATACTTGCGTTTTCTACAGGAAAATTATGTCTGGATTAGTGAAAGTAACAAAAGATCCACACATTTACCCTGTCCCCACTGAGACAGATGCAAGTATAAGCATCTCTACCCATATACATACACACATGCATATGATTTTTAAAAATCCTAGCCAACAACTATGTATCAGATACTTCCCATAACACCTTCCTTATTAATCTTGCACTATCTGAGGTTTTAGCATCCAACCTAAGCTATTCCCAAATAATACATATGGGAAAATGCCAGCTTTAAAAGCAGAGGAACCTAGATCCATTACTGTCGATTCTGACTTTACGAGATCTGGAATGGGGCTGGAAATCTCCTGGGGTGAAGCTATGTTTAGAAACTACTGTAGTATCTTGTCCAAAGACATGCAGCCAGTTAGCAATAGTATGAAAATCAAACTTAGATTTGATTCAAAAACAAGCTCTTTTTACTATACTATGTATTATTTTTACATCACCTTAGGAAAACATTTATGCAAAGGTTAACCTGAGTGTAAAAACTAAATACTGCTTTGTTTATAGTCAATCACAGGTAAATATTGTATTGCTTTTTAAAACTTGCTATTATGAAAAAAAGAAACCTTCTAAATCTGCAGTCCTCGGAACAAGCAGTAACAACAACTTGGGTTTTTTCTGTAGTTTGACTATAGACCACTGCATAGACGCAATCAAAGGACTCTAACCTTAAAGCATACCTTGTTTTCTGAATCATGTGGGTTGGAATGGGTCCTAATATTCGTTCCATCATTGCTAGGTGTTCTTTACTATCATGAGTCTAGAAAAACACAGGAAAAAGGAATTTAGTACTTTCCATTTCCCTATATGCACAATAAAGGAAAACACAAGAAAATGGTGTTCACATAAAGGATTAGATTAGACATCTGCACAATTTACATTATATTCTACCTCCAAGGTGGAACCATACTGAACGAACTCAATTATCTGCTGCAAGCCCATTAAAATTAGTCTTTCTGAAATGGATTATGGTTCTGTATAGCAGATGCCACATAATCTGCTTAATGTAAAACCAAACAATTCCCTTATTTATTTGTATTTCTTGTACTATTTAACTGAGGAATGACTGGGGTAAGATTACCAGAAAAACTGTCTCCTTATATAATCAGGTGCTTACCCAAATTAATTTTCCACTGCCCAGTGAATAGCAACATATTAATATATACTAATAAAAATACAGTCCCAGTAATTCTCACAACAATCCTGAGCTAGGTGTGTGGGAACTTGAGTTTCAAACAGGTTAAAATATTAGCTCAAGGTCACACAGCTCAAAAATGAGGAAAGTTAAGCTATGACCACAAGTCAAAACTCATATTCTTAAATTATGTAAGTAATAGAGTTTTAGCTAAAGTAGAATAGAGAAAACTGTCACACTTAGAGATGAAATAATAACCTACAGCAAGGCTGGCAAACTTCTTCTATAAATGGCTAGACAGTAACTTTTAGGCCTGGCTGGTCACAAATGTTCTGTTGTATATTCTTTTTCTTGTTTTTAAAGCAGGCATCAGGGAGGAAAAGTTTGCCAACCCCTGGTTCTGGAGAGCAGAGGTTGTAGGTAATGCTTTTTAAAATTTATCAACTACAGTGCCGAGTGTGTTACTTTTATAACATTAAGTCCTTAGTTCATGACAGGAATAACTAATACTAGTTCCACATTTTTAAAAAGATCCTTAGTTAAAGAGTATTTTTGGAGGGTAGAATTCAAATGTAAACCATACCTCAAACCAATGTTAATAATCTCACTTCACTTAAGGTCTTAGAGTGATGTTATAATCACAACTCATTTGAAGCACCTATTTTAAGTGACAAAATGAAGAGCACATTTTGCTCAAGACTTACAGCTTACCACGACAAAACCAGACACCGCTTACTGGAACTGACTGGCAACCATGGTTCTAGGTATCAAACTTGTCTATAAACTCAGTCCTTTTAACAGGATCTCTTCAGATTAAACACAGGAGCAGCCCAGTGAGATGCCCCACAAGCAGTGAACACACACATTCTGCAACAGCCACCCTAGTGACTCTTGACTCACCAGCTTCCTGACCGCACCCCCAGTCCTGCATGCCCTAACTTCAAATCAACCTCAACACTGTAAGCCAGTATCTCCCAAACTTGCTACCCCACAGCACAACCGCAGAACAGAACACAACACCTTGATCATATCACGACCCTTACAGTTAGTTCAGTGGTTGCCGCCACCTAAAGTTTTCAAGACTTTTAATTTCAGATGTAAGTAAAATACTGACAGAAAAAAGTGGAGACCTAAATAAGGTTTCCTACTTTTTGTTTTGCCAAGTAAGGACTTTTATTTAAAAAAACCAATCACCAACAATTATAATGATCATTTCATAAAAGGGACATTTAATACCAAAAACACAGAAGGGATAATTTCTAAATAAAGGCCAGATGGCAACCCTACAAAATCATTTTCATTTTGATCAGATTACATTTTGGGTATCACTGACTTCTAGGATAAAAGAAATACCTTTCTACAGCACGCAAGTCCATTATGAATCAGTCCTTGCCTATTATCATTTTCCCATTTATGCAAAATAGTCTGAAAGCACTATTTATTCTTCCCTGACTAGAGTAGGTTCCTTTACACCTCTACCCACTTTTGGATACAATTTCTTTTTCCTGACAGGGTACCACACTCTCTAGTTTTCTGACAAACTTCTACCCTTCCTTCTATTTTGGCTTTAACTCCCTACCTTCTCAGTGATGCCTTCTCTAAGGAAATTTAATTGTTTACCTTTCCTGGGTTCCCATTACACTGCTTACATTTTTCCATAACAGCAATTATGACATTATACTTCTAATAGTCTATCTTTTTTGCATGAATTCCTTGAGGACAGAGATGTTGTCTTTTCATTTTTTGATACTTAGTGCCTAGAAATGTGCCTAGGATATCACAGATGCTTAATCTTTAAAACTAAATACAACTTACTGTTCATAAATTCTTTTATAAAAAGGAGCAAATGACTTGTTCATGGCCATAATTGATGGTCAACATAACCAGAACAGAATTAGAATTGGTCACAGTAACACTAATGTAAATTTATGAAGGAGCTCCCTAATAAAACGGAAACATGAGACAGTATGAACCATGTGTTAAATACTCTACTCACATGCAAAATGCACTATGACTATTAAGAGTAGCACTTCATTAAACTATGCTTTAGGAGAACGAGGACCATTTTTGCATACACAAGTTTTAATCTTAAGAATAATGAGACTACAGCCAACTTTTCACTACAGGAGCCAAAATTTTAACATTGTCTTCAATATTTAAAATTCATTATGAATGATTAAATTTTATTTACTAAAACATACCTGGAAGACTGTGAAACCAAGGTAATATTCAATAAGAATGCAACCGATGCTCCAAACATCACAAGGCTGAGACCAACCTAAAGCTAAGTAAAAAACAAAAACATTTTATTATGCAACAATTTTATTTGCCAATATACTAAATCTTTCCCTATACAGCTGCTTTCTTTACCTAGCCTATTTGGGAGAATATGACAGCAAACTTGGGGTTTACATTTTCAGTTTTATATATACTCAATAGGCTCTCATAGTCCTCCACAACATCCTTACATCAACTTACAGTATTTTAACCTGACGGATGGAGCATTTTATGTCAAAGAGGGACTAGTAAATACTTTCAAAGTATAACTACAACTGTACAAATATTCCATAGTGTCTGAACTGCTCATACAATGCAGGGCACTGTTACAGCCACTTCATGGTTGTTCCAAGAAATTTTACATTTTATTAATGCAAATATAAGTCAACAACTATACTCTGGATGTAATTACTAACCACTTATCAACTATCATCAGCTTGATGCAAGAATTTCTCTTCTATTAAAACAAATACTAGTTTTACATAAATTATATAAGAATGATAATGGATATTTTGAGCAGTTTCATCTATAAACCAAATTAAAGAGCCATTTAAAGTTCACAAAGAGGTATCTATGTATGTACTTTCAGGCTGTCTATGTGATTATATGTACTTTCTCCTTCAGAATTCTTAACGGCAATACTATTCAAGAAGAATAAAATATCTAGCCTTAAGGCTCTAATTAACTGGAAAAAGAAACTAAACCATACAAGATCTTTTAAAGATAAAATATTTAGTAAAATAATAATGTATAAATGTATAAAACCTATTTTAAAAGACATTTCAATTGCTTTCAGTAATACCACTGAATAAAGAAAAAGGAAGAAACCATATATTCAAGGGATTTGATTATGATTTAGCCATTTTGTCAAATCTAAGTGTCTATACACTTGAATAAATGGATAATTCTACATATCTGCAAATAATAGCACTTGACTTAAGATGCAAGTTTTCTTTTCTAGCCACTCCTACCTCCCAGTCCAGCTCTTTCCCAGGTGACTGCAATCTTCTGCAGCACACCACCCCAAAGCATCCCATTCTGATGAGTCAAGCCCTTATACTCCTTGGAATTCTCTCCACCTCTCCCAACTCTGTTCATTACCAATAGCCAAGATGGGGCCCTCCTCAACTGTATGTAGTACAGGACATCTTCCTCTCCACCTAATTCTGCCTTAATCCTCAGGATTAATACTCCACAAACACATAGAGGACCCTTCTAATCTCCCCATCCCCTGATTTCTTTTCCTCAAGGCCAATAACCCCAATTTTGGATTTTTATCAACTATCTAGCCCAGCCACACTCAGAACTTCGTTATTACTAAGAATTACTATATTTTGCCCAACCTAGAAGGTCATTAACTAAGATAATACCACTGTTTTATATATCAATTAACAAAGAAAGAAATGCCAATTATTTTGTTATGTTTTCGTATATGTTAAAATGTGGGGAAAAATTTGCATCTTGAAATTGGTAAAACACCAGAGAAAGTTTACGCTCTGAAAATACTTCTGTCCAAAACTCTTCTCACACTTTCTTTGACCCTCCATTGTAGCCTTCAGTCCTCAACCACAACACACTCCTTCTAAAGTACTGTAATACGGCAGCCCCTCTCCAACGACACTATGCAAAAATCCTATCATCCACTTCAAAGGTAAGGTCTAAACCTGTGTTCCAATGTGGTTGCCACTATCCCCAAGCGGCTACTTAAATCTAAAATTTAAATGATATTAAGTTCAAAATTCAGTTCTTCAGTCACATTAGCTTCATTGTAAGTACACAGTATCCCACATGTAGATAATGGCTACCATTTTGGACAGTGCAGATACAAGCTATTTCCAACATTGTGAAAAATTCTGTTGACCAGCACTGTGTAATATGCTTAATTTCCTTACCACGTAACCAATCCTCATCATTAGTTTGCTTTCACATTCTTACTCTGAACTACCAAGCTTATTTCATTTAACTATCTCCTAATAGTACCTGATCTGAACTTGTCCTAAGCCCTCAAGCTCACCTCTGACTTCCCTGCTTTAATAGGACCTGATCTCTAAAAAAAATGCATACTCCTTTACTGAGTCCCCTCTGATTTCAAAACTCCACCTTAACTCATTTTCTTTTCCAGCCTTTCTCATGTCAAAGGTTATTAAAGCTCTGCTCTTTGACTAGCCTCTCTTCTCGAGTTCCTTCCAACCTTATCTAGATGTCTAACAACCAAACCTGTAGCATTTTTTCATCACCACGCTTTTGTGATGAAAATAGCTACCCACATTACTCCAAAATCACGCCACTGTGAATGACTTAGCCAACAGAGCTTGTTGAGTATGATCTTACTAACTTGTTCAAAAATCACCACCACTAGAATATCTTTACAGAAGGTATCACATTTTTCCCACTCAGGAAATATATTTATAGCAACATACAGGCAATTTTTATGAAAACAGAAAGCATTTTCTGTATACTGCTAAGAAAAACACACCCACCTCCCCCACCTGACCCCTAATAAAAGAAGTGAAGAACAAAAATCTTTTCAATTACAATTATCAGGAAGAGGCTACTGACCCAAAATGACCTCTGGAGCTCTGTAATGCCGTGTAGACACCAAAGTACTATGATGTTCGTCATCATATGTTGCACTTCCAAAGTCAACAACTTTGATATCTGTGTTTTTCAAAGTGCGTTCATCACGTTTCTAGAGATACATTTGAGTAAACATGGATCAATAAAGATAAGAGATATTTTACAGCACTACCCAAAAAGCTTGCACATTATCTTTTTGATTTTCAATGTAATCCCATAAGGCAAAAGATTATATCCTTTTTGCGTTAAACATCAGGATGTAATGAGCCTCAGAAGTGAAATTTCTCATTTAAGCATCACCAAGCTAAATTTAATTTTAAAGACAACCATCAAAATTAAAACAAGTCTTTAACTTACCATTTTAGAATTATATTTGACTACATAGTCAGACTGCACAAATAAAATATTTTCAGGCTTCAGATCTGTATGAGTTAATTTATTATGATGCAAAACTACAAGAGAATAAAAAGACATTACTAGTTTCACTTACAAATTTAATCTGCACTGGAGGGAAGGGAGAATTAGTAGTGGACACGGGTTTCATTAATACATGTAATATGTGTATTTTAAGTCAGTGTTGTGATATGTTGTTTGTATAATAAAAACTTTGGTTCTCTGGTGTTTAAAGATGTATCAAGTATACTTACAATTTATTGACTGGCAGATCTGAAATGCCATCTGCCTGATGTGGCCAATTTGGAAGGGCAGAAAGCTATTTTCTTTAATGAAATCATAGGTACTAAGTCCCAGCAGTTCGAAGACAATACAAACATGACCATGATGATCAAACCATTCTAGCATCTGGACACAGCAGCTAGAATAGATCAAAATAAAGTAATTCAGTTCACATATTCTTTCATGTAATATGACGGACTACAGTTAAAGTTTTTACTTACAAGATACTATTGGGATCAGTACTATTTAAGTGCTCCAATACTTGGATCTCTGAACGAGCTGCTTCACGGTATCGACCTACATTTTTTATGATTTTTACTGCTACACGCATGCCATCCCTTAAAAACAAAATTAAGAAGAAAACAGTAAATGGACAGAAGCAGGATGAAGACATTTATCCTCCAAAGCATAATCTTATTGAGTACCAATTACTCTATGCTATTTTTTTCCTAATAATCTTTCAGGACATAGTATACCATATTCCATATAACATTTTTATATGGAGCAATGATTCCCTTAAAACTTACAAATTATAATGTTTGTTTCCAGCATTTTTAATTTACTTAGATTTTATAAAAAAGTTAAGATAAAAATAAACCTCAAACAGAATATACTACTGCTGAAAGCATTTGCTCATTCACCAGGACAGACCCACTCTGCCAGATAGTGCATAGGTGCTAGTGAGGAAGGACAGCTTTTCCCTACGTACCTCACTGTCTAATGGAGCAGACATGAGCAACTTACCACAAGGTTAGAAGTGCTTGTATGAGGCGCCACAGAGAGGTGGGAAAGCCTAACAACAGGGGGTTAGGGGAACTTAAACTTCGTCAGAGAAGAAAGAGGTGACACACAACTGAGCCCTGTAAGACAGCTATCAGTTTGTCAGATTTGGAAGAAAAAGGGAATATTCAGGCAAGGGGACACCATCAATAAGTCATGAAGCCAAGAAAATGCGCAGCACATTCAGTGATGCAAGTAGGTAGAAACAGGTACAGTGTAAGGAAGGCAGCGAGCTTTAGGTTGGGGCCTTATTCAAGACTTCCTAAACAAATACAGAGCTGCGAATATCCTGAGGAAATGATTTCCAAATCTCCACTTCCTTTTGTCCTTTTTCTACTGTCTTCCTCAAGGAGCCAGCATTCACATCCTTCTTTTTTACTATGATCCTTCTATCTTACAGAAGGAATGAAAACCTCACTTACACCTCATTAGTGTAATATGTGTCCGAGGCTGTAAAAAATATCCTTGAAGCAAAGGAATTTTTCTCATGGCTGATGGCAAACCTTCTTCCAAGTATGGTGATTTCCAATTCATTGTGTTCAACAAGGCCCCAATGAAGCTGTGGGCTGATAAATCACTAAAAAACTGTTTTGATGATAATCTATGATGTTTGGCATAAGACTTAAAAAGAACTGCTATAAAATTGCTATGACAGAATTCCTTCTAGTCTCATCTACTAAATTATATGACCAAGTTTTCTCAGTGCCTACAGCTACAATGAAAAATGGAAAAAAGGGTTAGCTAATGCTAACACAGGAATCATACTACAACATAAAAATGTATCAAACCAACTGTTATACGCCTTAAACTCAGTATTATGTCAACTATAATGCAATTTTAAAAAAAGAAAAATGGAAACAAACTTAATGACAAAACATCTTAGATGTATTTATTTACGGATACATGTACACATTTTTTAAAAGCCCCAACCAACCCAATAAAAGATGTATTTCCAACTCATTTTATGTTTTAGGTCTATTAAGTATCAAAATTCCTTATAGATTTGTACTTGATCAATTCAATATTATTAATTATAAAATCTCAAATACTCAGTGTCTTGGAATCTCTAGAAATTATAAGAGGACATAAATGGAACTACTGGTGAAATCTGAGTAAGGTCTGTAGATTAGATGCAAAAATTTGAAAATATGTCATACGTATGTATGTAGAGAGAATAATAAAGCAAATACTATAAAATAGTATCATTTTAGTAATAGTAAAATACTTCAAAATATTTCAAGATTTTAAGGTCAATTTTTGTTGCAGAGAAGATAGGGTGATATAAGATCCTTAGCATGACAATCTTTATGAAAAGTGGAATGAAAATAAGTTAAAAGACAAAACATATATATAACCATTCAAGAAGAGTTTGTTCAAGGATAATGGTAGGTGCTGAGCTGCTATAGTATTTAGATTCCCTCAAACATATTCAAAGAGAGGGAGGTTTTTTGTTTTTCTTTTAAATTAACATCTACAATAAGCTGAAAATTACATACTTCTCAACTATTTTATGATGAAAAAATTGAGATGCCAATTTAGAAATGTATAGTTTCAGTAAACTGTTCTTAAGAGGTTCACTTAAAAAAAGTTTACAAACAACAAAAGAGAGGTCCTGGAGGAAAATGTTAAAATGAGGCAGAGAGGATCAGATCACAAAGGGTTTAGTAAAACTTAACAAAGAATTTAGACTTCATTATGTAGACTTTAAGGAGAATTTCTTTGTAGTTTAAGAAGCTAACTCTACCTTGCAAATATTATCCTTTGGGAAAAAAGGTTTTTGAACCAAGATTAGACATGATTTACTGTCTATGGAATTCAAAAGTAAAGCACTCCTAACTTCTTAGAAAGTTGTAAGTTCTGGGAAATTCCTTCACTTTAACATCCACTTTGAACTCTATCATATAGAATTTGTCAGTGTCCGTGATCAAAATAACACACTCAAGGTAAATATATCATATTGTTTAAGAAATTCTGAATATTTGTAACTTTGAGGAGAACATGTGACTACCACTTAAAAATACCATTCCATCTAAATTATGGATCCATCAAATATCTGAATTTTCAAAAAAAAAAAAAACAAACTTACATGACATGATCAATGCACTCTACAACTTTGCCAAAGGCCCCTTCACCCAAAGTGTCCACAATTTCATCTAAAGTGAGGGGAGAGAAAGAGGTGTAAGTACCTGAGTACAAATTATGTAGTTATTCAAACAATGAATATTTAAGTGTGGAATATTTTCAAACAATCTCTATCAAAGCATAGCTAAGAGTTCAGCACTCAAATTATTTTCAGCTGCTTCAAAAACAATTAGATAGAGCTATTTTTCTTGCTCTAATCTCAAATTCCACTGATTATTTTGGAACTTTAGAAATATTTAAATTCTACAGAAAAGAAGAAATACAAAAGAACAACAAACAAACCCACAAAAAACAAAACAAAAAAGCAATGAAGAGTTCTTTAGCCCCCCGCTGACAAGTTAAAAGTGTTGAAAAATATTCTATACATCTTGCTCTTAGAACGTCTCCACTTTGACAGATCAGGTGACCCTCCTCATCATCCTCTATACTCCTGGATCTTTTCCTTCGGTGGCTCTTCTGGAACGGCAAATGGGCGGCACCAAGATCATCCAGCCAATCATTATATCAGAGTGAATTCAGGGCAGAATACGCAATTCATTCAGCGGGGAGATATTCAGGCATTCAGATAAGCACCAGGCCACGAACAGTTGGCAGGAGCAATTTCAAATTCAGTCCCCAGAAATTCACAGGGCACAGTTTATGTTACAGAAGAAAAACATGGCAAGGAACAGATTTTCAGATAAGATACTTCAAGTGGCAATAGAAAACAACACAATTGTCTCTTTAAAATACTGAATTAATAGAAGTCTGAAATTTAAAGAATTCAATGTCATGATCTAGTCTGTTGGTATAAAATAGCATATGCTGTGAATTGAGATGTCTAATTTGTCCAAAAAATGTTTTAAAATGTCAAGATTAGTTGAAATTATTTAGCAATATTCTTAAATATACATGACTAAAATAAAAGGGGAAAAACAAAGGGTAGTTTATCTTCAATGTTCGATCTAATCAAAGCTAGTTCTACTGGAAAAAACTCAGGGAGAAAAACCGTAATTCAAAGTTTACTGATCAAACAGGTGAAGATATCTAAGTGTAAATACAGGGCAGGCTTTTTGAATATTTTCCATTCAGCACCCATTTTCCAAACTTCAACGGAACTAACTGTAGAGCAATGATGCTCTGTGCTTTGGGACTGTGTTATATATAGGATAACAACATTTAATTATCTACCAGTGCAACTTTCAGGATTTGTTTCCAAGTATCAGGAAAGGGGTTTCTTTTTAAGTAAAAAAATGTTTAAGAAGAACGAAAAGATGGGTGCCTCATCTTTTCATAAGGTTATATTACAAAACATAAAAATAAAATATTTTCGGTTTTAAAATCAAGGAACTCATGGTCTGGACTGCAGAAAACAAGTAAATGTGGGCAAATGAAGGCTAGCTAATAAATACAGATCAGTTATGAGAATTTGGAGGTTTCCTTTAAGGATTCAAATGATATAAACACAATTATAATATATCCAAATAGTATTACATATAAACTTTTCCAAATTTATTGGCTCATTAAGAGCTTTTACATACAAATAAGTGTCCACCCAAAAGAAAAATATAGTCAATCATACCGAACGTGACTGATGACTTGAACAGTGCCTATTACGCTTCCTTTTAGGACTGCTTCTCCTGCTATGGACTGAAGATTTACTGCAGTGTATTCGATAATTTTCAAAGTCTCTGTGATAATGTCTATGAATATATCCTTCGCAGTTGTCATTTCTGTATTCTTCAATGTACCTCCGATCCTGATATTCTCCCTCATTCAAGGACCTTGCTTCTAAATAATGACTGCAAACACATTGAAGCATTTCAAATTATTCTCCTTCTCAAATAATGAAGTGCAAAACATTCTCTCATCAATTCCTGGCTAAAACAGCTAACTTAAGAAAAAAATTCAAATTAATGAATTATAATTTACACTTATCTCACAAAACTTAAAAAATAATTTTACTTTAACCGAAGAGCAAATGAGTTCATATTTCTCTGTTGCATAGATTGCTGTCAAGAACCTCACATCAAGGAAAAAAGAAAGTTTGAGTCAAATCATTCAGTTATGTTTATTTGATTAAATGTCGCTGTACCTTCTGGACAAAGTTAAAACCAAAACTTCACAAAATTGCTCTTCTGAAGTTCATTTTGTTTTATGATATATTCATCTGTGACTAAGCTTTCTTACTTTCCCCGTAAAGCCACAAGCAATCAGAGGCAGGCAAAAACAGGATTACTTTCTCTTTTAATGTAAATGCACTTCAGATATTCCTGGCACACAGACTTCGTTCATGAAAGGTGCTGAAGAGCTAGAATCTTAAATGTATTCCAGCCCTTTCATTTTACAGATGACAAAATTAAGATTCCTAGAAGGAAAATTATTTGCTATGGGACAGTTTTATTACATACATCACTTATCTCCTCTCCTGTTTGTATTTCTAGCTTTCTGTTATTTCTGAGAAGTAGACAACACAGCTTTTGAAGGTTGCCTCCTGTGCCAAAAACATCTATGCTATTATCTCTCTCAAACGAGAAAAAAATCTTGCAATTGCTTGCCTCAGATTACAATAGACACACACCCTACTTCCCTTTGCATTTCTAACTTCCTGTCATTTCTGCTTGCAGAATATACAAGATTTCTACATGGGAAACAGCATCACCTAGTTGCCATAGTGCTTAACTTCCAACTCTACAGATCCCTTGAAAATCTGATAAGACATGGACCTCTCCCCCTAAAAAGTGCACAAATGTAGGAACAAAATTTGGCAAAGTATTTCAGAGAGGTCATGGACTACAGGAAGTCAAAGGATCCCAGTTAAGTAGCCTTGATCTGATGGAAAAAAAAGGACATCATTCAACTGGCCCAGTTTCCCATCCCGCTCTCTACCTGGGATGAGTGTCCTCTTCAACAAAGTGCGAAGCTTCAAGAGGGACGCACATGGAGCACTTAGGGAGAGAGGGGACACTTGCCCAGTCAGACAAATCAGCTAAAATAATCCTGAGAAGCAATGGAGTAACAGATAGTGACTAGATTGCCCTTACCAACCTCTTTTGTTTCCCAAAATTATGCTGTCACCCTTTTTCCCAGGGGGCTGGTTTAGGCAGAAATAAAGAAGCATTTCTCAAACTAGTATTCAACAGGACTGGCATCAAGCCCAGGATGGGAAGATGCCAGAACCCCCCATTTCTTTCCCCCAGTGTCAGTCTTAAATTCTAACATTGGGGAAATAACTGAGAAAATTACCATAATACTGTGGATCTGGGCAGGTACCTGATCTATAATCTATAATACATCAAGCCAGAAATTACCATACTCTTAAGGACAGCCAGTTTAATTCTGTAAGTCATCCTTCCCATAACTGCCCAAAATCTTTCTATTAGAAAGAACTAACACTAATAATCTTTAGCTGGAATAGTGCATGAAATTTAGAGCCGTCAATAATCCATGAACAATCTATAGAATAATAAACATGAGGTGAAGTTATACCATGAGGATAAACTAAAAAGATGAGGACGTCTTCTACCTATGACAACCGAGGATTAGAGATTATATAAACAAAGTCTATAAAGTTACAAAGGCACAGACAGAGTGGACAGGAGGAACAGATTGATTTAATTTCTAAAACTATCCCCTGAATGTCCAGCGACTATTTCACTGTAGTTCTTCAAACCAGCAAGGAATAAAGAGGCTATGGGCATTGCCACATAGGTCCTATGGAAGATAAATAATATATATAAGGCAGAACCCTTGACAACAAACGATGAACTATTTGAGATTACACACATAAAAATAAAGCAAAAATCAACAATGCAGGAAATGGTGAAAGGCTGCATAAAGTGCTCAGTGTCACAGAGTAGGGAAAAAACTCAAACTGCTTTAAATGGTTAGAAGACTTCATAGAAAAGAAAGGAAGCATTACATTTTAATGGGAAGTCAAGATTTGGACAAAGTAGAAGGCAGAAGAAATGCCGGGGAGAAGAATGGAGTATTACCATCTTATACTTACAGAGCACTTTTAGCCACGATGGCTTCAAGATGGCTATTTAAATAGTACTCAGGAAACATTAAGGAGACAACCCAGCAAGAGTAATTTTCACACAGGGGAACACAGGCAAATAAATAAGCTGGAAGAGATCACCCAAAATTTCATGTGCCAGGCTAAGGAGTTTAAAACAGTGTTTCTCAAAGGGTAATCTGTCTATCAACATATTAAAATTGGGAATTAGTATCCCTGGGCCCCAGGTCAGACTCACTGAATCTAAGTCTAGTAATATGCGTTTTAAACATACCTCTGAGGTAATTCTATTCACACTAAAGTTTGAGAATCATTGGCTTAAAACTTGATACTCCATGTTAAAAGAAGACATCTAAGGATTTTTACCACAATATATAAAGGTGGTGTTTTAAAGCCACATCAGTTTTCCTAATATACTGTCCAGAATTAAGCCTATAGGAAGGGAAACCAATTCATAGGCTACTACCAAAAGACCAATCTTTGCAATGTATGTATGAAAAAAGGTGAAATAACTGATAAACAATAAAAGCTCTTATAAATCAGTAATAAAAATACCCCTTAATAGAACAAATAGGCTAAGAACACAAAAATAATGTCCAAGTGGTTAATAAATATATGACAGTGGACAAATTCACTAGAAACTTAAAAATTTATATTAAAACAAAACACTACTCTTGGTATTTCAAAATAGTCAAGATTGGCCACAGCATGAGGGAACATGTTATAATGTATAACTTGGTACAAATTCTACCTTTCTAGGTGTGAATATATAGCAAGAGCCTTATAAAAAGTTCACATCCTTTAAACTGAAAATTTTAACTTTCATCCTGTCCTAGAATGATCCTAAGAAATGTCCCTTCTTAGAATCTATTTTCAGGAAATAATCAGACTTATATACAAAGACATTTTTAAGAAAAAATACTTAGAAATAACTTTACATCCAAATAATGGGGGGCTAGCATCCTAAAAAGGTTATCTCCAATATACTTTTTTGCATTCTTTGTAAAGTTTTGAATCCTCAAAAAGTCTATTAGAATATTCCAGATTATGGAGAGCAACTACCATCAGACAACTCTGGTGCCAATGTCAAAGAAGTTAATTGGCCTCATGGTTAACTGGACTGACTCAGTATTGTTAATGCAGTTAATTACGAACATGAACGAACTGTTCATCACTCAAATCACACTTCCTTTCTATATATATAATGCATAATAAACTTATAAATGACTACTACTATGATGTTAAGCTGACAGATATTTTGCATTTATTCACAGGGCACAGAGGTTTTTCTATAATATATTAATTAGCTCAGGTCATTGAAATCCTGGCATAAACCTTCCCTCTTCCCTGACATGAGCGTGTATGATGAAGAATGATTAGTCTGCACTGACTACCAACAAGATCACTATCCCGCAAAACAAATCTGTTTTGCATGGAGAAAGAAAAAAAATTACATAGTGTTTTTTAAAGTAACCCCAGCAAGCTAATTTAGAAAGCAATCTGGCAAACAGTCTCAATGGAACATCTGTACAAAACAAGGAGAAAACACACGACCAACAAAACAAAAAAGAAAGAAATTCATGGAAGACAGGATGAAAGAAAATCTCACCTAGCCTTTTTAAAATCATTTTAGGGACTTTATAATTCCTTTAATTCTGTAAAAATGTATCACCTCCAAATTTTACACCCATTAAGAATACAATAAAAGAGGACACAGGATGTGAGAAAGTTTAACTGAGACCCTTTCTGGCTCAATAAATTACTGGCTACTGCAAAGGAATGATTCTTACAGTAACCAAGCTTCTAAAATCCCGAACACATTTATTGGCTTTATCTACAAATATAACCTACAGAACATAGTACATGACTCATCTCCAGCACACTCTGACAGTCCCAAATAACACATGCCATTTCCCCATCTGGATTAACATTCTTGGCCCTTCATTATCTCTCATTCATGGAACCCTAAATGCCCACCCCAACATACACATCTCCCTCACACACACACATTAAAGGCATTCACTGGGTGTCATACTGTCACTATTAACTTTTTGTGGGTCTCATCTCCCTACTACATTACTGGCAGTTGGGACTCAAATCAACTATCTCCCACCACTCCCAGAGAGACATAGATACATGAGGGTAGGAACAGCTGTAGCCTCAGCACCACTAGCCTTAACAGTTATTCATTAATCTAAGTAAGTATTTGACTGAATTAAAAACAATTTGACACATGAAAGCTATATAAGCTAATAACACATCAGCACAACTATTAGTGTTAAAATGCTACTAGTTCAAAAGCAATTTACCAATCAGATACTTTAAATTGGTGATGTGGTTTACAATGTCTGTTCTCCTGTGTACTACTGTTGGACTTCCTCTTCCGTTTATGACTTCCACTGTAGCTTTCAAGTCCCCAGCTTTCCCTGCTATACCAGTCAGGACAGTGAGCTCTTTTGGAATGCCGCATCTGGTAATAGGAATGGAACGTGAGTTGTAGAGAAGGTTATAGATGGTTATGTTTAAGGTATTACACATTAGTATTATTTAAATATAACATCCAGCACATGAAGTCACACAAAAGGCTCTCAATTTTTGTAGGTAGCGTTTCTCAAGGCACAGGGCACTATTTCACTGGTATGTCAGATGACTGTTAGGTGGCATAAAGATCTTGTGTTAAATGATGAACAACACTGTGAAAGCTTATATTTTCTTTCAATTATTCTGAATACATTCTTAGCGCTGGTCTTCAGCTAACCCCCAACTGCCATTAAAAAAAAAAAAAGAGTGAGGGTTCAGGCTTAGTATCTGGCTAGAAATTATTAGCTTTGATTTCAATTTACTTCCTTCTTTTTATGGTAAGTGATTATTGGCCTCCTAATGAAATTGATATGATTTCTTAAAAAAAAAATGTTAACTTCAAAATGTGGGCTAATGAGAAATATCACAAGTGTCACGCAGCTCTGGCAAAATACTGTAATACAAATAAACCAATCAGAGAAACTATTACGGATACTAAATACAGGGGATGACTTTGTTTTAAAGGTAAAGGCCATTAATGAAGATTCTTTTTCTCAAACACTTCAGGGTTCCTTTTGCTAAATCTCAGAATGACTCCAGCTTTGGAGAAAAAAAAAGGAGGTGAGTATAACACAGTACTCAACAAGACAAACTGAAGGATTATATAAAGATTATTTTATCTACCCAACAAATTTATTTTCAGATCATCCTGCAGTTATTCTTTAAGTTATATTTGTTGTACATCTGGGGTGACTGAAGAAACTAACCTATGAGGATGCATACTGCTACAGTGAAATCAGATGATAATGGTGAAAATTCCCTCACTCAATCTACATATAACCTCTAATGCACAGGTTCCTTCCAGGCTCAGGATCTGTGTTCTAACAATGTGATCCCTAATTGCCTCTCCTCATCTTAATTCTTTTACAAAACAGTTAAGTTTCTAACAGTAGTGTCCAAACTGCTGAGCAAACAAGGTGAGTTTCCTAATCAGCAAAAAGCTGAAAAAGGTAAAATGGAACAAAACCAGCGTAGTTAACCTCCTTCAGCTTGCCCAAACGACTAAACTCAAGTAAAAATCTAAATGATTTCAAACAGATTTTAAAGAAGGCTTTGCAATGAAGCAGCTCCAGTTCTTCGGGAGGTATTCCATAAGAAAATGTATGTATCATGCCATCAGAGCCTGATGCCAACAAATACTCATCTTTGAACTCACTGCTCTTGCTGATTCTAATTCTATGCCCATTAAGCATCCTTCTGGTAAGGTAAACTCTCTTTTAGCTTGCTTTAAAAAAGGAAGAGAAGGCATTGGTCAGGTCAAACAAAAATCCCGAAACAGTTAGGGTTCTCACTGGAAATTGGTTAGTAAGCATTCTGGTTTCATATAGAGTAGCTTCAATATGCCGTAGAAGGTGGGTCTGAAGTCATTCTCTTTGCCTCCTGAGAAGATAATTATTAAGATTACACTACCTCTAAAAAGGATTCTACAAATCAGCAAATAGCTTTCAGTAAAAATATCAGACACAGTGGATTCTTACGTTTATATCTTTTAGAAATCTGATTCTCTACTGCCCTTTAATATCCACCAATTTTATGCTATATATATGGCTTAAAATACAGGACTAGACTAAAGTTCCCATTACACGGGTCCAGGAGATCTGCATTTAATGGATAAAAAAGAAGCTTGTGGGCGTGAGCCTATGGCACACAGTCATACAGGCTTACCAAGAGAGCAAAACCAAGTGGCTGACCTGGTCGGATTGGAGGGCTGTTTCCCAAGGCTCAAATAAGCATTCAAGGATAGTAATCAAGGATAACAAGGTGCAAAAGTATATGAGATATGCAGATCTGCTGCAACAATGGTACGCTCCACCTTAGGAAAAACAACAGTGTCGCACAAAGGACGAACCTCCCCATATTTCTACTTCTCACAAGCACTAGCTAAATTCCAACGCCGGGATCGCAAAAGTTCAGCTCTTCGGACTCCACCCCCGCCTCCCCACCCCACGGCACCGAGCCAGGACCCTCGGCGCAGTCACCTGTAGTGGCAGATGCTTGACTCCGGTAACCCCCACCCCACCGCCATTCCCTTTGCAAAGGCCACAAACGGCATCCAGAGCAGGGCTTCATCCCCGACACCAACCCCAGGGGCGGCTCTCCACGGGTCTCCGACAGGGCCTCACTCCGGCCGGGGGGACCAGCGGGTAAGAGCCGAGGCCTCCGCCGCCGCAAAGCTGGCGGCCAGGGCCCACCGACAGAAACCAGCTGCAGAAGCGCGGCCTTCCCGCCCCAACGCTTTAAATCTACCCTGACACCAAAACAATTCTAAGTTTTAAAGGCCGCCAGCGGAGCTGTGCCCCGAAGGAACCCCAGTCGCCGAGGCTCCGATTTCGGTCGTTTCTCCGACACCTGGCTTCGAGACGTAAAAGACTGGAAAACCACCCACCCTCGCACACCCCGCCCGGAACCTTACCTCCGCAAAAGCAAAAGGCCCTTTGGCCGAGAAATGTCGCCAAAACCCCCCCTTCTCTCTCCAATCTCTCCGACATACATCCGAGAAAAAGGCTGCTGCGCCGTCTCCCTACAACGCCCCAAGCGGCCTCTAGCACCACCTACGCGGCGCGAACGCGCCTGCGTAACAGAGCCTCGCGCGCTCCCGCAGGTACCCGTAAGAGGCGGGGCACCGTGAGACGTCAGGGGCGAGCTCGGCCCTCCATTCTGCGGCTGCGCGACCCAGGCAGGCCCCGCCCCAAGGCTTGGTTTGGCCGAAGAGTGCCTCAAAGGTTGCTCTCGTTCTGGGAGAACCGGGGTGACTCCGAGAGGGAGCGCTTGTGCCCTGCCCCAAGGCTGTGGCGCATGTCTGCTTCTTCAGGTTAAGTTACTCTGATCACGGCACCCACGGCTCTAGCCATGGTACCTCTGGCCCCGTTTTTGGCGCCCCCGCTCAAAGTGGCTTTGGCTTGCTGTCCCTCTGTCTCTTCGTGGACCTCGACGCCAGACAGACCCAACACGCAGTACATAAACCCCCAAACTCGCCCTGTGCCAGGCCTGGGCTCGTGAACAGGATACGGGCAGTCAGCCTGCTTGGAGCTTCCAGTCTGACATGGAGTTGGATAAATAGAGCGCCTTAGGGTTACGAGTCTCTTAAAGGGTTGTGCTTCTAATTAGAACCCAAAAAATGAAGTGTCAACTGACTGCTTATAAGGTTCTTTCTGTTAGGTTCCCTGCTTTATTTCTGGACAGGTGTAACCGGAAGCCTCCCTAACGAAATTCTTCCCTTTGTCCTGTGGGTAGATTATATTTATCCAAGGCACAGTAATTTCTGCAAACTAGAGAGCATCTATTAAGGGGCTTCCTTACCTTCAAAGTATTTTGCAGTTCTAAGATTACCCGTAGAGTTCCCATTGTGAGTATGTAGAGTGAGAAGAGCGCCAAAATTTGAGCCCTGGGGAACACGTGAGGGACAGAGGAAAAGAGCCGGAGAAGGACCGATCAGAAGGAGAGGAGTGTTAGGCTGGAGGAAGGAAAAACAAGGACATGCAAACAGAACAGAGAGATACCATAAAGGAGAACAGACCAGACCCCAAGGTCCTTGCCTTATATGGAAAGGGGACAGCTCTCCCTGAATTCCATCCTTCTGATGTGCCAACTAAGACCCGGATGTCAGCCTCCTCCCTCTTGGAAGGAAAAAAGTTTCTAGCTGTCTATTATGTCACCTTCAGCCAATCATACCTCTCCACACCCCCTAGGATAGCTTGCCCACTCCTCCCCGTCCTAACCCCTTATAAACCTCCACCTCCCTGACCGGGGGTGACTTCCCCAGCCTGTGTTTCAGACCGGGGAACATCACCCGGGAATTGCGCTCAAACAGGCTGCCTGGCCCTTTGTTGTCTCTTGTGGCCTGCTTATCAGTTAAAATTTATCTTACCAGGAGAGCCAGGCGTATGGTGTCAGAAAGCAAGGGAGAGAAGGACTTAAATGAGGGAAAGGCTAACAGCACCAAATGCTGGGGAGGGATCAGGTGTGGTTATTACTGAAAACTGTCAAAAGGATTCTGTATTGTGACAAGGATTTGATGGATAAAAGGGAAAGCCAGAAATAAAATTGAGGAGAGCAGGTTTGGACTATTGTGGGCATAAACCCAATAGCATGTAGGAGACCCGAACTCCATACCTTGTTAGGTGAAAGAATGGTACGGTAATGACCTAACGTTACAGAACTGGTGTCACCTACTTTGGATAAATTGAACTCTCATGGAGATGGTACCCCATTTCAAGAAGTGAAGTTGAAAATACATAAAATTGAATTACAGAAGTTGTGCTACACTTTAAGAAGGGAATAAGTAAGTTTTTCTTGACTAACTGCTCTGGCTATAAATCCCAATACAGTATTGAATAGAAGTGGCAAGAGTGGACATACTTATATTCCTAAATTTAGGGACAAAGCTTTTAGTCTTTCACTATTATCATATTAGATGTGGGTTTTTCATAAATGTACTTTATCATATTAAGGATATTCCCTTCTATTCCTAGTTTTTTCAGTGTTTTTATCATGAAAGCATGTTGAATTTTGAAGTGCTTTTTCTACCTCAAGATGGTCGTGTGTGTGTGGTTTTTTGTTTCACTTTCATTCTACTAATGCAGTGTATTATACTGATTTTTATATGTTGCATAAACTTTTGATATCTAGGAAAAATTCCACTTGGTGATGGTGTGTTATCCTTTTAATATACTGCTTTGTGTTAACTTGACTAGGACTTGAGCAAACGAATGTTAGAGGATTCAAATTCCTCTCAATACCCCGTTTTTGTCTCCACTCTTGCCTCTGGGCTTCCCTAATCACTTCTCCTCAAGGAGCATGTGTATCTTGTGGCTCTGTCTGCCATAATCCAGTTTTATTATACTGGAGCCCTGTTGGTGTGGTGGGAGTGGGAAGTCTGTGATCTTCCAATTAGGTCGCAGTCTCAGTGCATTGATACTTAGGGCCTATGAGCTACTCAAGTATTTCTCCAGCAGTATAGCTTTTTGCCTCCTTGCATTCCTCTCTTGACTGCGGCATTCTCAATCTATTTCCTAGAAGCCCTGACCACTGTTAACTATGTTTTCTCCTCTTAGTGAGACAGGAAGGTTAGAAAGACCTTAAGTGGGAGGAATGTACTTTCCTTAGTTAGCATAAGGCTCTGAACTCTTTTCCCCAGGAGAGTAGGCCTTTTTGGTGGAAGACTGTGGATTTGTTTCACAATGGTTATATTTCCCTTGCCAGAGCCCTGAGGGGATATTTCCCAGGTGGGCACCATGTAAATCCATAGGGGTTTTCTGGAGCTAAGGGCAAAGGAAATGTAGGAGACCTCTTAAGGCTGGGGTTGCTAGGAGTTTCACACTTTCAAGGTAGTGCACACTCAACCTCCAGAAATTCATCACTATTACCATTTAAATGTTCCTACTGGTTTATGCTCCAGCAGCTTCTGTTCCAGATGAGCAGATCTCAGCTATGTCTCTCCAGTATGCCTCTCTCTCCAGATCAGTGTTGCAGTTTTCCCAGCAACGTCAGTTCTCAGGAAGATTTTTTTAAAGTCATTGATTTTCAGCTTGTCCAGCCTTGTAAGAATAGGAGTGACTTCCGAGTTGTTCAAATGTTGTAGATGAAACTCCAAGTCCAAACAAGTTTTCGAATGGTAGAGAACTGAAGATTACTAAATGCAAACAAAATGACAAAACCCCTTTAACTGCTCAAATGCTTAAATGCTGAATAATGCAAACAGTTTTTTCAGGGGAGTTCAGTTCGGAGATACAAGGAAGTCAGAGTATGAGGTGAAGAAGGAATTCATTAAAGCAAGAAGGTTAGGGAATGACAGAACAGAATAATGAAGTTCATTGAACAGCTGCACTCAGCATGGGGCACAACCCCTGCTAACTCCTCAGGCTAGTGTCACCTGGCCTCCAGCATCCACGTGGATCTGCACAGCATGGGAACTGAGTCCCTACCATCCCAGGCTTTGGGGGAGCCACAGAGCAGTGGGTGGAGGGGGATTATGTTCTGTGAATTTATAGGTGAAGAAGGGAGACTTTCAGGCAGGCTACTAAAGAGCATGACTGTAAGCTGCAGCTCCCAGACACTTGGCAACAGTAATTTGCAAGCCCAGGTATGGGCTCTCAGCAGCCCCTCCCTACTTGTCTGAGATAGGACAGAGAGCATGAAGGTTTAAGCCAAAATCTTGAGGATTAGAATGACAAAGCAAAGTAACAAAAACACCACTGGAAAGTCACAGAGACAATACTAAGTTGAGCAGTGAAAAGTTTATTTAAGGCAAAAGAGGAGCACACTTGGAGAAAGGGGGTGTGGGCTTCCCCAGAGGTGCCCCTAAAAGGTTGGGAAAAGTCAAAGACGCACTTACAAAGTGCAGGCGACCTCAGAGAGAGGAACACCCTGAAAGGTTTGGAAAAGTTAAAGTTACACATTCAAAAAGTGCAAAGTGACCTCAGAGAGAAGAGCAGACCAAAAGGTTGGGGGTTCCCCCTTTTAAGGAATGTAACCACGGGCTGGGAGTGCAGACTTGTTAAGTGGTTTCTGAATATTTAAAATTAACAACACAAGAAATTTACTGCTCTGATTTCTACCTGAGATAACTGGTGTCTTGGTCTGGGAGCATAACAAAGAAGACCACCTGCCCAGCCCCCAAGGTGGGTCGAGTTATTGTCTGTTTGCTAAAGAGTAAATTAAGAATTATACTTCTTAACATCCTGGGTATTAAAATGCATCTTATCTTTAAGATGGAATCCTTCCTGCCTTTTACTGTTGTTTAAGGCTGGGCCTGCATACTAAATTAGTTGCCCAGGTTGCAAATTACTTGACTAAGGCTGAAGGAGAAAAAAACAGCATATAGGTAAAGTTCAAGAATAAGCTGGGCCTGCATGATTAACACAATAAAGACATGGGCTATACTGAGGTACTCTCCT